CTACATGAATTTTTTTCTATTTCCAATAAATGCATGACCATCTAATGATTAATAATACGTTGTTAAATGTTAACACTATGTTCATTGCTGTAGAAGAGAGTCTCTGCACAGAAAAGCTGACACTCTAAATAGAAAATAATAGAAATGAGAGCTGGAAACGACCTTGTAGGACACCTTCCCCCACCTTCCAACCAGTGCAGTACTGTATAGTCCGAAAGCTGTGTGGTCAAGCTCAGAAGCAAGACTCAAACAAAAGAAAGGTGGGAAGCAAAAAAGGAAGCTGGACTATAAAGAGGATCAATGGCAATTATGAGGCTAACAGACTTCAGCCTTTCTCCCTTGAGCCACCCTACTCAGTAGTACTCTTACTTTGGAGATGGAATATGTCAGGGGGGAGGGGAGCAAAAACAGTAGGGCTTGACCATGTTGTTTCTGAGTGCATGATATATCGCAGCAGGGTGTGGCTATATGATTTTAGTCTTCACTTCCTAAGTTAGAGAAGAACTTCCTGTTGCTCTGTAGCACTAATTATAACAGACATTTTTGTTAAAGTGCTTTAAGGGATCCAGTGACTCTAGGGACACGGGTTTTATTTACATTGGTTATAGTCAAAAGGTGAATTCTATTTAGAGATAATATTCTGATCCACATCCAAACTGTTCCCAAAGCTTGTGTACTTTCAGAGGAGGAGTCTTGATTCTTGCCCCTCTCTAATTCCATTGCACTTGTAACTGCTTTTCTGTCTCCAATGGGAATTCCAGCTGTGCTGTGGAGGCAATAGTAAGAGTTGATTTAAGGATGTTTATTAGCTAGGGTTGCCAATTTTGGTTGGATGTATTCCTGGAGATTTCATCACATGACGATCTTTAATTAAAAATTAATCTGTAATTCCTGGAGACTCCTGGCCAATCCTGGAGGGTTGGCATCCATATTTATAGCAAATGCAAGAGTTGAATACTTAGCAGAGATGAAAAGCTATTCTACTGCATCACCTAGGGGCTGAGGACAAAGAATTAACTGAACACTGACCCATCTGTAGCTACAAAGACCAACACAGAATATGCAGTTGCACTGAAAACATCAGCAGAACTGCTAAGTAGCTATTAATATTGTTACCGAATGTTACATTCAGAAGTAGAGGACATCCTATAAATAGGACAGTAGGCAGTTGTATAGGTATCTTAAGAGAAGAATTCTCACTTATGAATTTGGTATCATGCAGGATGAAATGTTAATGAACCAGCTGTTGGAAAATATTTCACTTCTACATAGACAGAAATGACTGTTGGCAGAACTGAAGCTTATCCTGTGGATGGCAATGATTCTGACATAAAACCCTGCCAAATTAACTAGTTACTTTCTATGTGAGATTTGGAATAGCCTGTCAATCCAAGGTGACATATAGTGGAGAGATAGAGAACCCAAGGTCTGAGTTTATGCACACACTGCTCATGAGGGCCATGTCATCATGCCTCTCACTAAAAGAAGGATCTGCCAAGATTAGTGGTGTCCAGCAGTAGACCACCATGTGGAGCAAAAACCACTATTGCTAACCTCCTTCCATGAGTGATAAAATGTGTGTGTTCATTTTTCTGAGTATGAGAATAAAAACTGAGGCACTTGCCTCCACAATAGTTCTATTGTAGATGTGTTATGTATCTATGTGATGCTTGCTGATGGTCATATATGGAATACGTCAAGGTTAGAGAAGGCAAGCAACCATTCCACAGCCTGTGTGAAATCAACCAAGTACACATGCATACAGACCTGCATGCATTTAACTCCTCAATTCAAGCTCCACTTATAAAGGCCCCTAGCATAGAGTAATGAGAGGATGCTGCTGCATGAACCTCCATTTTAGAGAAAAGACAGTAATTGAAGCAGCATCTAAATGGATAAAAAAGAACTACAAGTGTCTAGGAGATGGATCTGCGTAAATTTCAGTGAGTCTTCAAATTTTACAGTATCTCATCAATGGGCAGTAGTGGCAAGAATTATGGATATGTGGTTCCTTTAGCACTAATGTTAGTCTCTTCTGGTGCCATCTTTAACATGGTGGCCACTACCCAAGCACCCTCTCGTGGCCAGGAGTGCCTCTACAGTGTCTGCCTCAGTTTTCCCTTCTTCAGGGCTCCTTAAATAGAACTGCCTGCAGTTTTGCTCATCCACTCGCAGCCCTTCTTGAGTCTGGAGTTTTGTATTAATAATAAAAAAACCTAAACAAAAAAATCTTCAACCCAGTCTTAAACTGGGGAAAGCCCCCAAGGCACTGTCTCTTTCTGTTGTCTAAGCAGCTGGAGAAGATGCAAAGCCCAGCCTGCTTTCTCCAAAGGATAAACACATCTTCCATCTGGGTCTTCTTAACCAGCCCCAGTCCCAGTCCCTTCTTCAGAGACCCTCTCTCCCTGCCTCTTTACTGCACAGTTCCTTGTAGCTTTGTCTTCAATGAGCTCCTTCTGACTGCTATCGTCCAGGTGCAGCCCTGTCCCCTTAACTGGCTCAATTGTGAGCACCTTCTCTAGAACAGAGGAGCTGGATCTGTTTTTAATCACAGGGCCCAGCCATCCTGTGACACCATCCCTGTTGGATATCTTTAATTCACAGAGGCATGTTTTGTATCTGAGTGAACGATGGAAGGGTGGAAGGAGTGGTTACATGTGTGACGGGTTTGGTCACAGAGACCCCCTTGGGACTGTCACTTGATGTGCTGAAATTACCTCTGAGCCTGTTTTCCCTGCCAGCTTGGGACTCCAGAACCCTGCCTTGTTGAGCCAGACACGCTAGCCTGCTGCAACACAGACTCAGGGTCTGGGCCATGCCCCCAAAGCTACAGACTTTAACCAAAAACAGCTCAGCAGGTTACCTCTCCAGCACCCAGACACCCAATTCCCAATGGGATCCAAACCCCAAATAAATCCGTTTTACTCTTTATAAAGCTTATACAGGGTAAACTCATAAATTGTCCACCCTCTATAACACTGATAGAGAGATATGCACAGCTGTTTGCTCCCCCTGGTATTAATCACTTACTCTGGGTTTATTAATAAACAGAAGTGATTTTATTAAGTAAAAAGTGGTTTCAAGTAATAACAGACAGAACAAAGTAAGTCACAAAGCAAAATAAAACAAAACATGCACGTCTAACCCTTAATGGCCTCCACTTAATATGTTTACATCAGTGATACACATGTATATCTTATTCTCCTAACTCCAGACATAGAAATAATACATGCAAATAAATAGGATGAACACACTCAGTAGATTATAAGCTTTGTAATGATACCTTACAAGAGATCTTTTGCATAAAGCATATTCCAGTTGCATCATATTCACATTCATAAGCATATTTTCTTAAAGCATATGGAGTGCAACGGCACAACAAGATCTTAGATTCCACTAATCCAAAAACCTCCTGTAAGAGTGCACGATCTGCCACAGTGAAGGTTGTTCTCTCTCTGTCAAACTGCTTGTTTTGTTTTGTTTTTTTGGGGGGGAGGGAAGTGGGTGGGGAAAAGGGGGAGAAGGTGCTATACAACAGCTTGTGCTTCCCTGGGCCTGTTTGGTTGTTTCATACCATGACTGGCACCAAGACACAGTAGTAGGAGGATTGCTTGAGAAAGGGGGAAACAAATCTGACACCGGAGGTTACTAAGAAAGGGGTCTTTGTAGCCTAGATCTTCACAGCTGCCAAATATTCAGTCACTCTGAGGGAGATATGGCAGGGAGAGGGAAGCAACATTGAAAGATTTTTAATATTGGGAGATGGTGGTGTATAAAAAAGATTTTCATCCTAGCTGAAGAGTGTTCCACACTGACGTGCTGCCTTGCCTGTCTCCCCCCAGAGCAGGACACAGACATGGAATAGACTTGGCATCAGCACAACCGTAGGGACAAAATAGTGTCTGGGTATGTTTTCAGTAAAGTCATCTGAAGGGTAAATTTTTCAAAAAATGATGTCTATGTTGCATGTGTAGAATATCTTGTAACAAAGCTGGAAGCACGAGCAAGTAACACTTGAATGTTCTTTATCTGGGTTGAAGTGAACTGTGGTGCAAAGAGATAACAAAGAACCAGGACTGGATGGGCAGGAAGGAGAAAATTATAAGGATGCTGAAGGAGAACATGGTGGGGAGGGAGAGGGGGAAAGAGGGAAAGAGGGCAGGAGTATTGGACAGGCAGAAGAAATAAGGAACATGGAGGAAGAAGAAGTCAAATGGTGGGGGGCAGGGATGAGGAATGGAAAGATAAACTGAAGCAAGAGGCCAGTTCAGATAAGGAAGTTTCTTGGAGTAAAAAGAGTGGTGAAAAGAATGTTTTCAGAGAGGAAAAATCCACAAAAAAGTAAAGAGTGGAGGAGAGAAACAAGATGGTGAAAAAGATTAAAGAAAAGATACACAATAGAAGGAAAGAAATGAAAGCAAAATGGAAATGAGATGAGAGAACAAAGGAAGGAAGACAGTACATTCATACATTTTATTTTATAAAAATGTAGATCTAGAAACATGATAAAATCACATGGTTTTTTTTTCTCTATTTGGTTGTGTATACAGAGAGACACATACTAAATACTGGGACAGCTGTACACTTTCATTGTATTGCAAATGTGAATTTATACTCCTGGGACTTTACTTTGAGACACACACAAGCAAACTGGGGGAAGAGGTGAGGAAGTCTTAAGACTAAATGGGCCCATATCCACCAAATCTTTCCCTTGTGTTGTGTGCGTGAAATTTCACTGTTATTCTTTTCATAATCAGAGGTTTTTATAAAACATGTACAAAAACCAGTGTGTTTGGGAAGTATTTCAGTAAATGCTGAGGAAAGAGATGGTAAGACTTATCAGACAACTCCTACCAGGTACATTAGAGATCAAGGCCATCATGTTTCTTCCCATGTTTTAACACTTTCATTTGGATTTATGCTCCTCAGAGGAGGATAAGAATTTCCTGGTTGGCTGAGAGGCTGAGTGTTTTATGTCTGTTTTTTCTTGTTTCTTTTAGGGAGCTCTTGCTGTCTGTGGCTCTTGGCCAGGTTTTGTCCCTTCTTATCTGTGGCATTGGCCTGACCAGCAAGTATTTGTCAGAGGATTTCCATGCCAACACTCCTGTTTTCCAGAGCTTCCTCAATTACATCCTCCTGTTTTTGGTCTACACCACTACACTAGCTGTCAGACAAGGTAAGTACCATTCTTTGGAAGGGAGGTAGCTTCTGTAAGCTATTTTGTAGAATCTAGTCCAGTGGTCCCCAAACTTTTTAACTTGCCCCCCCCCACCCTACTCCCTGGAGCCAGGGCCAGGAGCGGGGCCACAGCTCTGGGAGGGAGGGACACAGACAGGGGTAAGGTGGCCAAGGCTAGGGCCATAACTGGAGGTGGGAGTGGGGGCTCCCCCGGGGGCTGGTGCTGGCCGCAGGTGCCCCGGGGGCCAGGGCCAGGAGCTGAGCTGGGTGGCGCTCCCTCCCTACCCCCACATGGGGGCTGGCCTGGGCCCCAACCGTGCCCCACCAAACATTCCTCCACGCCCCTCTAGGGGGGCACACCCTACAGGTTGGGGACCTCTGATCTAGGCACTATGGACAACATTTTCCAAAGCACTCAAATCCTGTTTTTTAAAAGCATTTAAGTCACTCAAGAGCCTAAGTTCCATTGCCTTTCATTCAATTTGACGTAGGCCCAGATTTTTTTAAAGGTATTTAGGCACTGCTGTGCTTAGGGTTGCAACACCTAAATGATTTAGGAGCCCAAAGCTATTTTCAGCCTAAATCCTTTTTTAAAATGAGCTTTGGGCTCCTAAAAATGGAACTTAGGCTCTTGAATGGCTAAAGTGCAAAATTTCCAAAAGCATCTAATGACATTCTTATTCTGTGTATATTAACTTATCCTTTTTTCCACAACACATTAAAAATTACATACTTTCTGGATGAAAGGAAAAAGCAAACTTTCATTAGAAAAGACTATTTTAATAAATAACCAATACAGTAGTGTTCTGTATCCTTTCTGCCTGATTATTTCCATGTGAACATTCTCCTTGATCCTTTCTTCCTGTTTCATATACACGCATTTAGGTCTAGATTGCGAGTTAGAAAGTTTTGGAGTGTTCTAAAACTTGGTATCTATTAAAAATGTTCAGAACTGCTGAATGCTGATCTCTGGGCGTGTCAATCCTTAGGAAGTCTCTCTAGGAAGTTGCTGCTCAGACTTTCTTTGCCTTCCCAATTCAGTTTGGGTTGTGGGAACATCATCAAAGGCTCTTTGGAAAACTGTGGTTAAACATAGCTCTTGCTGGAAAGTGCAAGTGTAGATCTTGCATAACTGTTACGAAACAGTTTACAGAATTGTTATAGCCCAAAAGTCTCATTTTCAAAAGTAACTTGGGACTTAGGCTCCTAAGTGAGTAAGGACTTTCAATGAGATTTGGGCTCTCAAGTCACTTAAGTGTTTTTGAAAATGTTACTAAATACTGGGGAGACAAGGTGGGTGAGGTGATATCTTTTTTTATTTTAAATGTTACCCTATGTTGGAACATATCCTGTGATGCCATTCCACATTTAGATTTAGAACGTTATTATCATGTCTATCATACACTGAGTTTTGAAACTGTTTAAAACTTTCTATCAAGAGCAATACTTAATACATAATTCCCCAGAAGATCCTAACACAGTCTGAAAATTGTGTGTCAAAAACGTTTGGTTTTGCCTGAGGTATGAAAGTTTGGTCATTGGCCCATCCTCAGATGGACAGGTATCAAGTTTAAAATGAAAGAAAGAAGGTTTAACTTTGTGGATTAAACTGTTGGAACACAAACCAACATTTAATGCACCACGGCCAGGAAGGAGACTGTCCCTGCCCTGAAGGGCTAACAGGCTGAATAAACAAGATAGACAAAGGCTGGGAGAATGTAAAATGGGGATGCTAATATTTCCTGATGAGCAACTGAGGCACAGAAAGATTAAGTTACTTGCCCAAGGTAACACTGGAAATCTATAGCAGAGCTGGGGAGTTAAGCCAAACCTTTCAAGTCCTGATGTAGTGGGATTTGAATGCATCCTCATTTCCTTCACTTAGCAGTGTTTGGTGCCAGTGGGAAGAGCCTTCATGAAGTAAGTTGGGAGTGGGTAGGACTTGGTGCCATGTGCACAATTATTCTAGAAGGGAGGGCATAGGTATTGAGGGAGGATGACCCATAGGGACAGTAGTCATGGAAGGTGTTTAAATCAGGCTGCTGTTTAAAGTTGGGCCAGAGAAGAATGACAGCAAGAGTTGGAGGGCACCCACTGAATAGCCTGGAGCAGGGGCTACCAGGAAGGAATGTCTGGAATTGGCAGGATGCCCAGAAAAATCCTGGACAAGGAATGGACACAGAGGCAGGGAGAGCGATAATCCAAGCACATTCCATAAAATTCCTACAGAGCACTACAGCAGCACATGGCCATTTCATTTATTGTCCATTTAATATTGCCACATGACAAAACCCCATTGGATTGGGATTCACTTACTCAGCAGATGGGTCTAACAAATATCTATTAAGGCAAAACACTCAGCAAGTAGTGATCAATTACTTACAAGTGGGAAGCTCATTAGGACAAACTCATCACAGTCACCTCCTGCACTGGACAGTACAACTTCAACCTCCCTTTGTTATACAAGCTTATAAATACGTTTTTTGTTATCTTTTTTTAGACATATGTATTAGTCTCTCATTCCATGTTATCTCTCCTCCCCTACCAGTACAGGTATAGTGTTAGTTCAATCCAGTCTTTTCTAGCTTTTTTTAGTTAGTTTCTTTTCTTCTCACGTACTCTGTAATTTCTTACACATACACAGTTCTCCTTATATTTACGCTGTTAAACATTATCAGAACAGACTCTTAAAATCCACAGCAGGCTTCTGTCAGGCCAAAATATGGCTTTGCTCCCAACAAGCCCCACATTGGTTTTCTTTGCTTGTGTATGTATTTAAATTCTTTATTTGTGGGTGTTAGACTAGAACAGTTTTTCTAGCAGCTCTGATTGTTTGGCATCATTAACAGATGAAAACCACATAGTAATTATATTAATTTTGTACAGACTGATTCAGTTATGAATGCTGGGCACATCAGAAAACTTCTTTCTAGCTTAGCTTCTTCTATTTCATATGCAAAATTTAAGATTTCTTAAATGACCCCATCTTTCTATTTCAGAAATCAAACCATGAAAACGACTGTAGAAGTCAAAAATAACATCATCCCCATTTTTTCTTTTGTTTGCTTTCTGAATGGATAAATTGATTGAGAGGACTATATAGGCATACATATAGAATATGGAGGCATTCACTTGAGACGCTAAACAGAATTTCACTGCGGAACTGCAACACTTGCTTCCAATAACTTCTTTGGGGGCATCCTTAACTTCCCTGCGTGGGACTCCCCTTTCTTTACTAAGCTCTTCCAAATCTAGATTTGTCCTGAATCCCCTGTGGACTGGCCTTCTCTGTCTGTCCACCATCTTTCCAGTAAAGGGGAAAATTCCCCCTGCCGTATTTAATAACCCACTTCTATCTCCAGTCTCGCTAGCACCTGTGTTCACTTCCTTCCCTCCCCACATCTTTCCAGGTCAGCCTTCCTGTTCCCTCTTACCTGTTAGAGTGGCGCTGCTAGTTTAGCCACAATAAATAGCTCCACTGTATTGCCTATTTTAACTTTGTGCAAAATACTCAGGGCTAGATCCTCACCTTGTGTGGATCAGCATAGCTATATTGAAGACAATGGAGGTACACCAACTTATGCCAGCTGAAAATCTGTCCCTGCTACTGTATTCTACACAGAAAAACAACACCATAAATGTGTCCTCATGCTCCCATGACCCTACATTTTCACAACAGCAGTTAGCATGAACAGTTAGAATTGTACTTTCTAGCAATGCTAGATATCTGCATCGATCTAGAAAGAGGGAAAATACTCGTTTCCTATAGAAGGAAAAGGCCTGGGCTCCTTCACTCTCCTTCTGGACATATTTAAGGATCTAGCTGTCTGTCTGTCTGTCTTAGGTCGATATAGGATGACCAACACCTTCATATCTGGGTACCAAATGCAGTATTTCAAATGTGCTTAAAGTATAATCTATCTGAGACTGTTCTTTCCATCACTGGGTATGGCTGCTCAGGCTTCGAGATCCTCCCAACCACAGATTTCCCTATCTATCCTTCAAACTTCTTATGGGCCTAATCCTACAAGATGCTGAATACTCAGGCCCCAGTCCAGCAAAGCACTTTAAACATCTGTTTAAGTTTGACTATGTGAGTAGACTCATGGCTACAACTCCTATAAGGCAATACCCTGATACGGAAAGGCAGTTTAATTTTTTGTTGAAATGCTTTGAAACAAAATAATTTGGGTCAGTTTGACAAAATGAAATATTCTGATTTGGATCAGTGTCCCAAAATGAAATATTTCATTTTGATTTTTCTATAAGGAAAATCAAATATTTTCAGTAAAATCAAGAGCTTTCTATGGAAAATTTCAATTCTGCAGAAACTGCATTTTCCATCAGAATATCATTCTGATGGGAAAATTCTTGACTAGCTCAATTATTTTGTTTGGGGGATTTTTTGTTTGCTTAGGTAGCTTTTTTTCACAAAATCAAGTTAGACTTTAAGCTTATTAGTTATTTAGAATGCACACATGCTACAGCTAATGTTAGCACACACTTACTGAAGTACCAATATTGAAATATTAAGTTCTAAATTTTTCCTTTCAATTTCTTTGTGTGCATGTAGCTAGATCAATGTTATAACAGTAAATGTTGTTAATGCAATATCATAAAATGACTGAATATCATTATGTATAATCTAACTGATTTTTCCCAAACTGTGATAAATATTAATGAAATCTACAGCATGTAGCGCTTCCTTCCAAGGTAACTTGCTATCATGCCCATTTTTATTTTGTTCGCTGTTGTGCCAAAACCTATTTTTTGTCCTGTGTTGAGAAAAAAGATTGTACCTCATTTTATCACAGCTCTGCCCCCTAATCTGCAAAGGATTCTGCTTAGAGGGATCCTGTCATGATACTTGTGGCTACTCATTTGTGTTAGAGGTGATTACACAATGAGGACAAGAGAGAGACTTAATCATCCTTCTGTCAGTGAAGTGGAGCTATGAAAAAGAAACCTGGGGAGATCAGCTTTAGCACCTGAAAAAGC